TTTCAAGTTATCAGTAATATCAAGGATTAAATAAATCTCTACAGAAAAGTATCTCAACAATGACATGCAATATTTTTAACAGATAGATCTAGTCACAAGAAACACAACAAAATTTGTTTCATCCATTTTGGAGCACTATAACTCGAGATATACATTTTCCAAGCATTTTAATCAATTTTTGAAACCATTTTAGAAATCCCTTTCTTTAAAACAAAAATCCAGCGACCCAAATAGGCTAGGTACACCCGGTGCAGTGCACCTAGAGAGGCTGCCACGCGGGACCCGCGGTCAAGCCGGACCCACGCGTCAGCCGGAGCCGAAGCAGAGGTCGCCGTTGACCGACCAGCTCTCGCCGCCGGTGAGCTTGCTGGCGGTGAGATCACCACCAGCGGCTTCCCCGCGTCGAGGCGGACCCGAGGTGCCAAGAGCGGCACTGGAGTAGCTCGGACGCGAGCTCGCCGGCGCACATGGCGCCACGGCGGCGCGGCATACCCGCGGGCGGGCACTCCTGGCCACAGCAAGCCACGGGGAGGCGCGCACAAGGGTTGCGGGGGCAAAGCGGTGCTGATGCGCGAGAAAAGGAGGATAGAGGTGGAGCGGGTCGCCTGCGCGGGCACGAGCTCCGGCGAGCTCAACCATGGCGGTGCGAAGAAGAAAGTCGGCCACCACAGCCTCTCACCTCGCCCACGGCAGACACACGCGGGCGCCACCGAAGGAGATTGACGAGGCGGAGCTACTGGCGGGAGGAATCGAGGAATGAGGCGTGGGAGGACGAGCACGTCGCCGGCGGAGTGACTGCGGCGCTCGGTGGCAGAGCTCGCTGCGCGCGGGAGCTGAGGCTGCTGCGGCTGGCTGAGTGGGGGAGGCGAGTGAGGAACGTGGCGCTGCCGGGCAGAAGAAGGCCCGCGCGTGGAGGTGGAGTCAGGCCGTGGCAGCCGCGCGGCGGGCGTCGCCTGACGCGGTCGGGCGCGGTGCGCGGGAATGGCGCGGCGCAGCGTGGAGGCAGGCCAGACACGGCGCGGGGCTGGGCTGGGCCGAGGCGACGGCCTGCTGAGCCAGAAGCGCGCGGGCGAGCGGCGCGGAGGCAGGCCGGCTTCGGCTGTGGGCCGAGAAGGGAGGCGACGGCCTGCGAAAGGAGAAAAGCATTTTTTTCAATTTCTATTTTTAAGAAATTTTCAAATACCAGTTTTCAAATATCATTTTGAGCAAGAAAATGACATCTTTTGAAAATGTCCCAAAAATAAAAATTGCTTAGAATTTAATCCTCTAAAATTTTGCTTTTCTGACCAAAGTCCAATTCTTGCTAGATTTTGAATTATAAAATAAAAGTCAATTTTAACTCAAAACCCTAATTTTGGAGAGTTATTTTTAAAGCAAAATTTGGCAATAACTTGAATACAAAATTTGCTCCAAAAATTGTGCTAAATAATTCTAGGTGATTTACAATCATAGCCAAACATGTTTTACTAACCTAGCAAGCATAATTTGGGCAAACACAACTCTAAACAAGTGTATGTAACATTAATGCTTCACGAGCATGTTTCATATGTTTCGAAGTAGGGTTTCAGTTATTATTTACATGATTAGGCATGTATAATTATGATGCTTGATGATGCATAATATGTATGATTTGCAGTGCATAAATGCTGGTCCTAACACCGGGGTGTTACAAACCCTAGAGTGCCGCAGCCGCCGTCCGCCGTCGCCCCACCAAGCCACGCATCGACTCCGTGCCTTCTCTGCTGTCGAGAATCCCCTAGGTGAGTTCGCCGTGCTCCACTCTCTCTCTCTCCTGGTGCCTTCCCCGTGTCGTAGCATGGCCCGTAGGTGTTTTTCCGTGCACGCCGATGAGCTTCTCAACGTCGGCCATGGCTGCCACCGCGTCGCCCTTCCTATTCGGTTGGCGCATCCCCTCCAACCGTCCTCAGCCGTCCGATCTTAGATGAACCGCCCAGATTAGAACCCCGCATACCCCTTCATAACCGGTCCATGAGCACAGTGTAGACTAGGTCCACAGCTCCGGTCCACCATCGGTGCACCATCTCCGCCCAATCCTACTTTGCCACGTCATCTTTGATCGGGTCAGTGCCGACAACCGCCACACTTTTGTAAAAGAGACCCTAGTGTTTTGTAAAATTAACCTGCCGTTTACCTCAGTTCAGAACTAATTCTAACCGTGCCTCTGTTTTTTATGTTTTGGTCCCTGTATTTTTTCAAAAACGAGGCCAGGTCCATTAGCCATTTTAATTTTGGTTTTTAATTATTTTTAATATGAAATTGATTCTAAATATTTACATATTTGCCCCTGATCTTATTTTATGCGTAGTATCTCCGTTTTAACTCCGATTTGACTCGTTCAACTTGCGTTAGGTTCGTAATTTTATAATCTACATATTCATACTACTGTTAGATATATTTTCAATTTATAAAATTTGAGGTTAGATTTAATCTATTATTTTATTAAAGGAAATCTTGTTTAATTCATATCCTCTACGTTTTAGCTCTGATTTGACCCGTTCAAGTTGTGTTAGATTCATTACGACGAGATCTACATGTTAGTAACAATGTTTATCATGTCACTATTTCTAGAATTTCATGGTTTAACTTCTAACTTAAATAATAATTATGCAACTAAAATTTTATAAATAAAATATCAATATGATTTGTTTTACTTTAGTTTTATAATTCAAATCTAAATTTGACTTAATTCAATGTATATAAGCTTTTATATAGTTAAAACACATGAAGTTTATAGTTTTATATTTTTCTCTTTTGAGTAGATCTTTCGGTAGCCGTTTCTTTCAAATCGTAGCTTCGATTAGCGTGTCTCTCGTGACTGTGTGTTCGTAGCTATACGTAGAATCGTGTTTCAAACTATTTTACTTATTTTTCTATGATTGATGTACTGCTCTGATTCAGATCTATTGTTTGCTTCGTGTATGATTGCATGGATGCTTGTGTGGTGCTTTATGATTATGTGTAATCGGTGAGCTTTACGTGATTGATCTAGAAGAAGTTCTATTGAAGGTTTAGACTAGAAGAAGGATCTAAGTTTAAAGCAAGTATAGCATGTGATCTTTCTTATTGTCCTATACACCTTTAATCATTTAATTGATGCTGCATGTGTCTACTTTGGTAACCACTAAGGATTTTCTAGTATCTTGTATCTTGTTCCTTGATACCTATGGGTTATTGCATTGGGTAGTATGATGCTAATGCTCAACTACAACAATGATCTTATAACTTGACTAATGGTATATGCAATAAACACTAAAAGATGTTTTTTAGCAACATTGAATCAGGGGGCTAGAGCATTGGGTTGTTTTTATGGTGCTCTAGATTTCTCTCCTTAATGACTTATCTGTAAGCGATTATTCGGGACTTACAGTATAGATATGAGGGCTATATGGCTATGGCTTTAGCTCAATATAAGGACATTTTCTAGCTTGTTAGCGGTTATCTTTATTGGCGTAAGAATGGCTTGACGAATCAGGTATAGGACAATATCTACTCTTATGTGTATAGCCGTGATGGAATTGTGCCATTCGATAGGGGGTTCCTACATCTGTTTACCGAGTAAATCTAATGACCATAACTTGTTAGACGAATCTTTGAAAGGCTTCATAGTGAACCCTGCCGACCTTCCTTGGTAGTGGGTCAAGAGGCTGATCACCTCGGGCGAAAGGGTAAATCACAACTCACAGTGAAAGTGTAAAACCTCTATAGAGTGTAAAACTGGTATATCAGTCGTGCTCATGATCACGAGCGGCCTTAGAACATTTACGGAATAGATGATGAACACTGATGATAAAGATGATCACTAATGATTACTGTTTATGCTATTCACTATTCATGTTTACCTGATCATGTGTTTATATGGGTTTGTGATAAACTTGTTGCTACTTAATTGCTAAAATCATGACTCATTAAAAGCTAATCACCGTTCAACTAGTGTCAGCCTTTTGAGCCTCAGGAACCCTATTTTATATTTATTGAGAACGACATGTACTTATGCTTGCTTTACTTTTTAAATATTTGAAAAAATCCTGGATGGGTACCAGATTGCTAGAGTTTGGAGGAATTAGGCTTGTGATCAACTAGTCAGTTGTCCTGGTAAAATTGAAGTCTTTACCCGGAGATCGGAGTTATCTTTCCGCTGTCTGCTGTCTAAGGTTATATCCTTTATACTAAGTACGTTATATATTGAGCATTGTCTTTCGATATTACCCTTATTTATAGCTATATGTGAGATTTGACTTTCTGAGCTCACATATGGTGTGTATCTGATTTTGTTCTTAAAACTGGGTGCTAGAGGAAGAGGGTTATCAGATCTGCGAGCGTTGGGGGCTCCGGGTGGGGTAGGACGCCGGGCGTTGGTACGTTGTGGCAAAGGATAAAAGGAGCGTAGAAGGGGTAAGGGATGAGCGTGCTGGAGTTGATTTTATTTTCGTAGGCGAGCGGCACGTGCAGCGGGGAGTGCAGCGAGACATCCGGCCTTCTAGACGTGTTAATGGTAGCATTAGCATTTGTACTGAGTCAACGAGGAATTAACTGTTCTCAACTTGCCGAGGCCCATGGCCGAGTTTGTGGTCCAACAGATATACCAGCTTTGTGATCGAAACATCCATGCCGTCGAACGGAGCTATGAGCGACCCGGGCAAGCAACGCTGGCGCCATACACGCTTGGTTCGAAGGTCGCGATGGTCCGCCAGCGGCAACAGTGAGAGCGGACAAGACGCCGACGAGACCACTCACTACACACCAACCAGGCCGGCAGAATCGAGTCGTGGTCGTCGAGGAAGCTCGATAAGGCCCGCCACCATCCATCTCGTACAACAAGCTCGGCCCACTCGATGGCACATGGGCTGGACTGGGATCTCGGTGCGTAACCGACACCAGAATAGGCCCACTCGAGTGGACTCGGCCTATCTGGCCCACCCCAAAGCCAACGTGATGGATCCATGACGCAGGGAGGAGAGGGCCCATTGCCAACGCCGGCGATGATGGAGGAAGCGAGGCGGCTGCACGCGCGCCTGCTCCGCCGCGGGGAGCGCCGCCTACAGCCGCTGCTGCTGCGCGTGCTCGCGACCGGGGACCTACGCTACGCCGCGCGCCTGCTCGACTCCTACCCTTCGTCGTCGTCGTCGCCCACGTCCCCGCCGTCCGCGCCGCTCCACAACCGCCTACTCCACGCACTGGCCACCGCGCGCCACCCGCTGCTGCTCCCCTGCTTCGCGCGCGCGCACCGCCTCCGCCTCCTGACCCCGCTCTCCTTCACCCTCCTCTTCTCCTCCTCCTCCACCACCCAACGGTTCGCCGCGTGCGCGCACGCGCTGCTGACCAAGTCCGGGCACGCCGCGTCGTGCGGCGACCCCTACCTCGCGTCGGCGCTCGTCGCCTCCTACGCCAGGTCCGGCCTCCTAGAGGAGTCCCGGCGGGTGTTCGACGAGCTGCCACACAGTGACGCGGCCGCGTGCAACGCGCTGCTGTCGGCGTACGCGCGCGGCGGGCGGGTGGGCGACGCGGAGGCGCTGTTCGCGGGAATGCCCGACCGGAACGTGGTCTCCTGGACGGCGATGGTGTCGGGGTACGCGCAGAACGGGAGGCACGAGGACGCGGTGCGCACGTTCCTGGAGATGTGGGAGGGGGCCGGGGTGCGGCCCAATGAGGTCACCGTCAGCAGCGTGCTGCCCGCGTGCGCCGCGGTCGGGGCCTTGGCTCTGGGGAGGAAGGTGGAGCGGTATGTGAGGGGGAGAGGGATGCTCAGGAACGTGTATGTCGCGAATGCTCTGGTCGAGATGTATGCCAAGTGTGGCAGCATTCGTCGGGCTTGGATGGTGTTTCGGGGTATCGGGACGCGGAGGGATCTTTGTTCTTGGAACTCGATGATCATGGCGTTTGCCGTGCATGGACTCTGGAGGGAGGCGCTGGGCTTGTTTCATAAATTGAGGGTGAGGATTTCTTGCTTGCACTCTTTTAATGGTCTTATTACTTCAACCATTTGCATTGCATTGCATTGCAGCGAACTTGGTTGCAGAGATGGCCTAGAGAATCAAATATGTTTTCAAGCACCAAACTAGTGACCTTAACCTTAAATCCAGATTACCTACTACTGCATCGTAGTTGCTAAACCTAGAGCTGATTTTACTCTCTTTAGATGACAGGGGCTAAACCAGATGGCATTACATTTGTTGGAGTCATTTTGGCCTGTACTCATGGAGGCTTGGTGGATGAAGGCAAGCTGCTCTTCAACTCAATGAGAGAGGAGTTCGGTCTGAAGCCAAGAATCGAGCACTATGGTTGCATGGTTGACCTGCTGGGGCGTGCTGGTCTGCTAAAAGAAGCTGACAGTCTGATCGCGAGCATGCCAATGGAGCCTGACGCCGTAATCTGGGGAGCGTTGCTTGGAGCTTGCAGCTTCCATGGCAATTTGGAGCTAGCGGAACTAGCAGTGGAAAAACTAATGCACCTGGAGCCGCAGAATACAGCAAACCTAGTGGTCCTTTCAAATATATACGCGTCACGTGGCAAATGGGACGGTGTTGCCCAGGTATGGAAGTTGCTAAAGGAAAAAGATCACAAGAAATCTGCTGGTTACAGCTTTATTGAGTTAGATGGTAGGATGCACAAGTTCCTGGTTGAGGATAAGTCGCATCCAAGATATGAGATGGTATATGACACCCTGGATAGCATCACACTGACCATGAAGCTTGTCAACTTGGAAAATTCAGAAGTGGAAAGCTAATTTTTCCGTCACAGTCTTTTATCTCTTTTATGAGAGAAGAAACTGAGAAAATCACTTGAGATTGATCACGTTCCTGGTTGAGGATAAGTCGCATCCAAGATACGAGATGGTATATGACACCCTGGATAGCATCACACTGACCATGGAACTTGACAACTTGGAAAATTCAGAAGTGGAAAGCTATTTTTTTCTTCACCATCTTTTATCTCTTTTATGGGAGAAGAAACTGAGAAAATCACGGACTACTTGCTCTGATCCTCCATATTAAATTGAACTGCGAAGGGATACACCAAGGAGGCAACAGAAGACGTGACCTATCAAGTGAATGCACCACCTGAATATCAACGGATTTTCCTCTACTACCAAATGGTTATTTCTCTTGTTCGTACAATTCAGAGGTGCAAGAGCACTAGGCAGAAAGAAACATAAAATTGCAGGTGAATTCCTCTGCTTCTCTTTTAAATTGTGAAATTTGGATCTGACATGCAAGTTATTAAACAGAAACTGGAGAACTATTACAGAGAAAGCTCATATGTTTTAGTGATTTAGTTTTGATGCAGTGTATGTTTTGTACTTTGTTGTTGTATGTTTTCTGCTTTGATGCATTTATCTAACTACCTTACTACCACCTTACTACCTCGTCGTTTGCCATGGCAGCTCATCGCGGAAGACATAGAGGAACTTTCAAACCATGGGGTTGTGCATGAGATTGCTTGGAAGTGTGATGCAGGAATGATCAGCGTCATATTTGTGCCCATCGTATTCTCATGGTTGCCTCTATGGAGCACTTTGCAGCCGTGGTTTCGTGATCACCCTTGAAAGGGGACTGTGACGGGGGTTGGCAACTTAAAATTCTAACTCTAAACTATGGCATCTTTTTCTAACCTTAGCAAAACATATACAAAAGATAAATTATCTAAATGTGCAACTATGGTTTTACCAGTGTATTGCTATCTCTAGCGCAAAAGGAGTTAAGTAAACAATGTAAATGCGGAAGCTAAAAAGTAAGGTAAAGATATGCAAACTCCGTCGACGACTCTGGTATTTTTACCGAGGTATCGAGAAGCGCGCAAGATCCCCCCTAGTCCTCGTTGGAACCCCTCGCAAGGAATCCCTTGCAAGGGCTAAGCTCCCTATCGGGTAACTTCGTGGATAGCCCTGGTCCTTCCCCACGCGCAAGTGGTCTCCGATGTGCCTCTCCCGGATCGCTCTCCGCCGTCTTCACTATCAAGCTTCTAGCCGAAACGCCGCGGGTCTTGTTCTCTCCGGTACACGGTGGCGGCCACACCACAAACGCGGTTGTTGTGATCTCGCAAGACTACAAGCCCCTCCGATGTACAACAATAATACGCGCAAGCACCAAGTGGTAAGAGGTATGCAAACCTCACTAAACACTAGGCCTAAACCTAGAGCAAGCGCATAAGCGGTGGTCTAATCAATCTAAGCACTTCGCAAAACACCTACGCTAATCATCTAATGAATCACTAAGCACCATGCAAGTGAAAATCACTAAAATGGTGTATCAACACCATTGGTATGTTTTCCCAGCTCCACCCTCTCAAATGGCCGGTTTGGGGGTCTATTTATAAGCCTCACTGAGAAAGTAGCCGTTGGGGACGAAACCCGCTTTTCTGCTACTGACCGGACGCTGATCATGTTCTGACCGGACGCGTCCGGTCACGCTGGCGCCGCTCTGGAACCTCTCTGGAGACGATCGGACGCTGCACTTCGTGCGTCCGGTCGTCCACTATGCTGCGTCCGGTCACGCTGAAGTCACTGCCGTGACGATGAACAGTGTCACCGGTGCGTTCGGTCATTGCTTCACTCAGCGTCCGGTCACAGCTGCCGACGCCTGTTGTTGACTGGCACCTGATCGGAGCGTCCGGTCACTGATAGGACCGCGTCCGGTCACCTCTGCCGGGTTTGTTTCTTCACGATCTTGCGTCCGGCTTGGTTCCAATCTTCGTGCTTGGACTTTGCTTGACCTTATATGACTTATATGCATCTTCCCATGTCTTTCTTGAGGTGTTAATCATCGGATCATCACATCGCTTCCGTCTAAGTCACGTTTTGCATCCTATTGAACTACAAAACAAACACTTGCAAATTTATTAGTCCAATTTGATTGTGTTGGTCATCAAACACTAAAATCCAAAGTAAATGAGCCTAGGGTCCATTTTACTTACAACCCTCACGTTGGATGCAGCCTGGAAGCAAGTCAAACATGGAATTGTCGAATGGGAGACATAAGAAACCTCATTTGTCCTCCACTTTCTTGAAAAGATACGCTCTCCGCCTTTGCAGTATACATTTTGTCATGTTTCATTGGATTTACTGTGTTCCTTAGTTCCTTTCTACAACGGCGGCGATATTGAACGAGTTTACAACTTTTAGTGGAGGCTCATATATTGAACGAGTTTACAACTTTTAGCTAAAAACTTCATTTTTGTACTATGGATCAGTCTGGATTCCATCAAACTTGAAAATGACTGCTGCTGCTTAAGGTGTGAACGTACCGGCACAAACAAGCAGAAAGATTTGCTCAGGTAGGACACTTCCAGAAGGACACTGGTCAATGTTCAGATCGTCATGTGCTTGTGGAAAAAAAGAACAATTTCACCGGGCCAGTTTCACAATTAGGAGCATAATCATTACGTTAGATGCTTGACATGACTTGTAAATGCTGACGAAATGAACATGACGCAACATCTTCCTTTTTACTTTTGTCGTTGTTTCTCTTGTTGAAATAATCAGCTCTATGATTTTATACCCCGTTCGGCTTGCTGAAACTTGGCTGAAACTGGCTGAAAAACACTGTTCTGGCCGAATTGTTGTGAGAGAAAAACACTATTTTGACTGAAAAAACAAGCCGAACAAGCCGGTGTCTGGTCCTATTGCATTTGAAAAGTTGGCTGATCCAGGAAGTTAGTGCTGGCTGATTCAGGAAGTTAGTGCTCTGGATGCTTGATGACGCACTGAAATCAGGAGACACCAGATAGTAGATGCTTGTTCCCCTGTGGAAATAGTAGTGTCAGAAGCCAAATGGGATTAGGCTCATCTTCTGAGCCATGTATCAGACATTCAGATATTTATCTAAAATAATCAGACATTTAGATGTATGGTAGAAGTATAGTTGTCCATGTCTTTGAGTTGAAATTTTGGGTTACTACACAGTACTGTGCTATTGTAGTTATCTCCATGACACCATCAGGTAGCACAAAGTACACTGCTTTGTATCCTTCTCCAGATTATTTTAAGAACAGAGAAGCTTAATCAATTTGGCAACACCAACTGCCGGCACTACTTTATGGTTGACCTGACTGGCTCCAAGTCTTTGGCCTCCGATCCATGTATGTCTTGGCGGCCAATCTTCTCGATCATGTCGTGTTGACGTGCAGCGATCCTGCTCGGAAATTTCGTATGATGAAATTGACAGAATGATTTGTGTGAGAGTTCAGTACTAGGGTGGCCGGTGTCTTAACCACATGATAATCCACCACCGCCCGTGGCTACACTGATTGGATGGTAGGCAGTGCAGAGGCATGCATGAGATGTCGCCGTTGGAAGTGAAAGGGATTGCCACCTACTGATGTAAAGATAATTCAGTGTCCGGCTGGAACATGACAATAGATTCCTACACATATACTACCAGTGGTCACTGGTCTAGTATACTACTATACTAGTGAGAGTGTGTGTTGAGAAGATCATTTCTTCAGTGGATGCCAAGAATTTGTTGTGCTGAACATGGACACATGCATGGTCTAAAGCAAGTAGGGTGTTCTATATCTGCTTCTTGTTGGCACTAGCTAGGATCTTCTTTTGTGTGTACCAGAAGCTGATCTTAGAATCTCAGATGAAGGTTCCTGCACCAAACACCAAGATTTGCTGCGCGACAAATTAAGCGCGCTCTCTATAACATGAAGCACTTGGATAGTATTAATTTGCAAGAAATGAACATACATCATACTTGAAGAGCAAAACTTGCGCTTTGCCAACGATATCTAGGTCCTTGCAAGAACTAACTGACAAGTTTCAAAAGATCCAGCATTCCAGCTGTCATTAACCGTTCCTATCGCGATCATGATCGCAATTGCGCTTAAGATATGTCTTGATCTTTATCTTCTGAAGACTCTGAGTCATCGCCGATTTGCTAACAAGCCACATTGTCTGAGGTGAGGTCAGTTTACAATTGATACTGGTGCTTGGTTCAGAAGTTTTTAGTGGCCCATTTTGATTCTAATTTTTCTTTGTTTGCAGCTGTCATCATCGCAGAAGACCTTGACCCAACAAAGATGAATTAGATTAAATTAAATGCAACAGCTCACATGGATGGCAATGCAACAGTCCACACGGTCTTGACGCGATGGAGTCATGGATGATAATGACTTGTAACTGCGAAGCAAAGTAGGGGAGGAAGAACAATACAGCGCTTGTGACTCACTCTTGAAACAAAGAAAAAAAATTCTTCCGTCAGATACTCTTGTCTAATCAATAAAAGCCTTCTATTCTCACCGTCTGATTGGATGAGATTTCAAGCTCAGGTAATTGTGATGTAGTTTTCACAAACCAATGTTGAATTGCAATTGTGATTTATTTTTCAGAAACGAATGTTGAATTGTCATGAGCAATGAAGTGGTGGTGCCTTCACAAACCAGGGTTAAATCCTTGGTTCTTTGAAAAGAAAAGAAAAAGAGCATCACCAAGGTTCCTCCCAAATGTGAAATTGCCATTCGATGCCTTTGTTCAGAAATAAACGGACAGACAGGAGTATTCCACAACTGAAAACGCAAGGCAAGCTAGAATTAGGATGAGAACAAACTCACTGACAAGATTTTACTGTGGTTGGTAAAATCAAACTCAGAGACAATGAGAGGCTCATCAGGCCGGAACGTATAACACTATTGTTCTTTTGTCCATGGAATTATATTTAAAAACAGACAGTGAGAGCGACCTGTGTGTCTCTACATATAAACACTGAGGCAGCCACCCACTCTTCCCATTAACAAAGCATCCATCCCTTCAACAAACCTTGAGTTGAGAGAGAAGAGAGGAGACAACAAGAGACACAAACAGAGGTACACCAAGAATCCTTCTCCCATCCTCTTCATCTTCCTTCGATCTCCCTTTTTGTTTTCGCACTTCGATTATGCTCTTCAATTTGTGCTTCACCGGTACGGTCTTTCCATGTTCTTGGCTCTTGAGTGCCTTCTTCTTTGATTTTTTTTTCTTGCAAATTCAGCTATGCACACTGCATGATTCATAAGAACATGAGAGATTTGGATGAGTTTCCTTCAAAAAAAAAAGTTTTTTTTCCCAAATTAAAATCACTAGTGTTAGGCTTAGGCCTATAACAGTTGACATCAACCAAGTTGTTACGGAGGTGGTTATATTACCTCTTGTTCCTGCTGATCAGAGACTTTCTTGGTGCCAATTGATTATGAGAGATGCTGTGCCATGGCCTGCAGGTAATCGGCTCACGCTTGTCTCGGTGGCCGGCCAATCATGGCCACCGTGGGGCAGTCCGGGGCCCTGAGGAGGGTCACCGTGCACTACGCCAACTCGCCCACCCGCAGCACGGTGGCAGAGGTGAGCCTTGACGACCTCGACGACGAGCTGCTCCAGTTTGTCCTCGCCGATCTTCTTCCTGGCCAGGTACGAGCCCTTTCTTCGCCTCCAAATCTTCAGCACAAGCATGCATAAACATGGCGTCTCTGTCAGCCTTGTATCTTTGTTTCTTCTGACCTGCGTATCATTTCCGTAGCTTTCGTTCTTGTAGCTTTCGAAGTAGGATTTCAGTCTCTACTGAAAAAGAAAATAGGCTAATAAACAAGCAACAATTACGGATTACTGAGAGATATTTCATAATTGCAGGAGGGTTTACACCAATCGATCTTGGAAGGAGCATACAGCAACCAGCAGAACCATATGAGAGGTGCAGGACCCAGGGGCCCGTATGACTATTCACAGTCACAGGAATACCATGGAGAGAGCAGCACTGCTGCAGCAGCAACTGCTACCAGGAATTCAGGCATGGATCAACAGATCGCCTCAGACTTCGAGTACGCCAAGCAGCTCCAGCAGGAGATGGAGGACCTCAGCGTCGAAGACGACGACGACGGTATGATCTGCTCTGCCTATGAATGATGATTCAGCAAATTCAGATGCGTTTCGTTTCTACATGATGTGACACTCGTCGGATTCTTGTGCCCGTCGGTTGTCGCATCTCATAATTGTGGTTCTTGTGTTGTCGCTGCCACGATTGTTCAGATATCAGCTGCGTGCCGTCTCCATCTGACTCTGACGATGAGCATGACCATCACGATGAAGAGGAAGAGGTGATTGCTGAACTTCTTTTTTTCTTTTAGCACTGCTCAACCTGGCTCAACATGTACCTATCTTTCTTTCTGAATTAGTTAGTTATTCTTCAAAGATATGAAAAGTGGAGAACTGAAGATTCTGATAATTGTGTCTGCAGGCTGACAGGCAGGATGGTAATGGTGATGATGATGATGTTGATCCAGACAACATGACTTATGAGGTTTGTGGCTATGGAATGTTCTTTTTTTTCCTCCTCTTTTCAAGTGACATGTAAAGCTTGTGAACAAAATAGAACTATGCATGTACTGTGCACCTTTACACCTGGGTTGGAACTTAGAAAGGCCACTGATTTCCTGCCCTTTTTCCGGTGATGCAGCAAAGACAGGCACTTGTAGAATCTGTGGGGACTGAGGACAGAGGTTTATCCGATGAGCTCATCTCCTATCTGGAGCCATGGAAGTACAAGGCAGTCAAGGCATCAGGGTTTTTCTCCCAGAAAACAAACCATGAAGAGTAGGTGTATGCCTTCCTTTTTCAGTTTACATTATTACAAGTTTGCTCTTTAAGAATAGTATATGAAATATACAAATATACTCGGGCCATAAATATCGATTCATATGCACAATCACAGCATGTGAGTAGTTTTTTTTTTCTAATGTTGACGACAAATAGTGAAATTTCCATGGCATCACTGATGATGTTTTCTGGGGTTTGTGTGGATGCAGCTGCCCTATCTGCTTGTCCACTTTCAGAAGCCGTGAGACCATGATAACGTTGCCGTGCAGGCATCACTACCACGCAGCTTGTGTCACCAAATGGCTCAAGGTCAACAAGGTAAATCTGCAGATGAAGCATCATCTTCTTGTGCTATTTGTTAGTAATATCAGATTGTTATTGCAGTTATAATGGATTGGGATTATTCACTGTGATAGTTTTTTTTTTCTGAACTTGAATTTCTCCTCGTTTTGTGAAAACAGACTTGCCCTGTATGCAAATATGAACTGTTTGGACCTTCCTAGCATCCGACCACGTCACCAACGAAGCTGATAAGACGATGAGGCGTCACACCCGGCTGGTTGCATCATCTACTTTTTTAGCGCCAAGAAAACTGAAAATGAAAAAAAAAATCAATCCAAAAGGAGAAAAAAAATTAGGAAGTATATATGCTTGATCACCCAAGGAAAAGAAAAGAAAAGAAAAAAAAAATGAATTTTAGGTGTTCTTATTTTGTCTTTGGCTTGTGGAAATGTACTTTTAAGAGACAATCTTATAGTTATTTATTAGAAGCTTGTTCTTTCTCTTTGCCATGACTGTGTGTATTTGTTGTGCGATGCATTATGCAAATTGTTTTCTCACGAAGCATACCTCGAGCCATTTATGATGTATTATTGGATCTTTAGGGTCCGTTTGATTGCATAGAACCTACCTAGTTTTTTTAGATAAGAATTTCCTAGTGGAATCACTAGAAATGGTGCCAAAACACCCAGGACAATGATTCTTTTCTCACCACTTTCTAATACTTTAAGAAACTAAATCCAGTTGCCAAGCAATTTCAATAGTATTAGATAATAATCCAGTTGCCAAACGATTTCAATAGGCGGGTAATAATCCTGTTGCCAAATGATTTCAATTCAATAGTAATTCATTTTCCAATAGTAGGTAATAATCCAGTTGCCAAACGATCTCAACAGTAGGGAAATTCCTTTTCGTGAGAATCTAGACCTAGAACATTTCCGTAAGAATCTCTATCGAACGCATCTTTACCACAGGCGATTAAATCCTACGGCTTGGAAAAAGTCGTCTGCCAAGCACCTCTGCCGCTATTTAACCAAACACGCCCTAGATGGAGTCTACTGAAGTGCTCCACAGAGGCTTACAGGGACGCCAAGCCGGAGTGCAGAACGAACGTGAAACCATGGGAAAAACACACCCTGTCAGATAACAGGAGATTATAATTGGCACTCCCTATAGCATGAAAATGATACACATGACAGAGGTAATGTTTGTAACCTTGCGATACTCACATCATATCATTCAGAAACATGTCATACACACGCTAACAGCTACGGGTTGCACCACTCCCGATCCCCAAGCCAAATCCAACTCACTATCTTACTCACACATCTGGAGTTACATCAGTGTATGATATGATCATCTGAAACTGTCACAGAAAGACAAGGGTGGCAAAGCACTTGCCAGCACCAATCAGGCTTATATTGTTGCTTGGCGCTTACGGCGAACGAACTCAAGAGTAGTGAGACGTTTATATACTGTGCTGCCATGCTCACATGTTACCACGGAAGGCACTACCACCCTTGTCCTGCACCGAACAGCCCGCTTTCCACCAGTGCGTTAGTGACTGTGTCATCGAGGTCCTCCAGTTGAAGGAAGGAGTCATCGACCATTGAGTTCACGGCATTGCCAGCGGTAGCAGCAGCAGCAGCTGGACTGCTGCTCACTGACTTGAAGCTGTTGTTTCTGCCAGGGGCAATGCTGACTGTGCTATTGTTGATCACATTGCTAGGGCCAATACCAGCTGGAGCAGCACCCTTCACCGCGCTGTTATGGTTACTGTTATTATTATTGATATGCTGTCCCTGCTCCCCAGTAGCAGCAACATTGGGGATAGCAACAATTGATGCAAGACCACTGCTCGCATTAGGTGCATCTGGAGGCGGTTGCTGTGCTTTTGTGCGGTTGTTATTATTCTTAACTTCCTGCAGAAGCTGATTAATCACATGCTGCTGGTATTGTGGGTTAACACCAAAGCCCTGGAAATTGTTTTGCTGCAGCATAGGCTGCTGAAATGACGCGGGGTGTTGGAACTGCACTTGGTTAGGTCCACGGAAGGATCTAGCTGCTTCCAGCTGTATGCCATTGTGCATTGCTGTAGGACCTTTGAAGACACTTGATGCCTCCTGCTGCAGCAAAATTAGATTTGCACTGGAGCTTCTGAGCATATTCTGGTAGCTGTTTAGAGGTGTGGCATTCTGTAGAGTGTTATTGCCAATGGTTGCAACACCAGGAGTCTGATTGTTCACAGAAGTACTTGCCTCTTGTTTGACCCCCATTAGTTTGGTGTTGCTCTGGTTATTGGCAAGGTTAGCAGCAGCCATGAGCTGTCTTGAATCATGCATATTCTGAAACTTTGCCATGGTTTTCGAATAACTGTTCAGGCTCTCTGCATATTAACAGAGAAAATGTTAGAAGTGCGGTGTAGATAAATGGGGCAAACAGAAGGTGCACTCCATACTAAAGACCACAATTCTATCCAATCAGCAATCAGTTCGTCATTGTTCATATTGTTTCTTTTTAATTGCTGTTTATTGCTCCACTGATATCAGCTGAAAAAACAAATGAAGCTACACAAATTATAGATGAGATGTGCAACTTCCCACTACATAAACCATGTGTACAGACATTACTACCTGTTATCCATTGGTATTCTTCAACTCTACTGCATAACTCGCAAAAAAAAACTCTTGCTGCTTTAGTAAGCCAAAAACAACCATGTCTACCAAGTTATCGCATCAAACTGTCTGGGTACAGCCCATTATGGTCAAAATGGTGGATTTCCAGTGCTGTAGATTTTTATTACAAAACAGACCTACAAACTCAATTTCCTCTGAAGACAGAATTCCGATTTTAATACTAAATCCAACCACCTTTATACAAAGTGTGGGAAAAACAGCAAGGAAGAACCTAATAATTTAGAGAGAGAAAAAAACTAATTCACACAGCTAAATGTTTGACAACTAAATGAAAATTGAAGACACTATTAAATAAATTTGCACAATCATCATACCTTTAGGACCAAGATTGTTCTTGTGGCTGAACTCAATCAAGTCCTTCATGTGATTCACCACCTCCGATATCTGACAAGGACAGACAACCATAAGCATGCTGCATGCATATGTATGTACTTGAACTGTAAAAAGATACAAGGGGGATTCTAACTACCTGCAGGCAGCGTACATATCTTTTAGAAAGCCCATGTTCATTTAAGGTGTGATGCTCTAGATTTTTTGCCAATTGCCGTGATGCAGTGACAAACCTAACAGTACAGAAGAAAAAGATGAAACCACATCAATTAGATAACCAGAAAAATTTGCTCAGTACACGTGGATGTCAATGTCAAGTACTGAAGGTGAAATAGGATCACTAACATGTTGCAGACGGTTTGTGCATCATTGTTTGATATCCCCGCTGATCCACTTTCATTGACAACAGCTTGGTATTTCTGGGCAACTTGCAGCAGATTATTAACCTGGAAAAACAGAAGGGTGAGTAGAAGATATGATATAACAGTCACCAAAGTTAATGGCATACCATACAAGAGGAGTTAACTCAGGTACAAGGAATATGCACTTGGGGTAGCACCCACAATGAATACGCATTAGAATAAGAAATGGGATGTGTTATGTGTTCACGTTTTAATATTTTGATCTTATACTGAGTCCATGCAGCTGTAAAATATTGTAGGGCAAATAAAAACATAGAGATAAGAAATAAATGTGAGAGTGCACAAAACGAAAGGCATTTTTCACCCCAATAAATAATCCAGGATCCAACGAATCATGCCACATCATATAAATTTGTATCCTACAGCCAAGCAATATATACAAATAGGCAAAGAGGATTAAACTACCACAGTGTCCTGCCAAATTATAGACTTAAAAAATTGTAGCGAAAATTAAGGTTGGATATTGGGATATAAGAGGTGGGATAAGGAAAGGGAAATGAATGAATGGCTAGGATTAAATGAGGTGTGAAGAACGAATGGCTGGGATCTAATATTTCCTGTCCCTATCCCAATCCCCATCCCTATCCACACACCGCCTAAAGGAACAGCACGCTGGACAAAGAACTACACCTGTGGTGCTATAGTCTTGCGAGTGATGTACTCCTCATGGCGTCGTGAACAGAACTCCCAGGACATTATCTACACATTTCACAGGCAATCAGGAAATAGAATGATTATCAATTGCCACCCATTTGAAACATTTAAGTGCCTACGAATGCTAAACAATATGGGCATGTTACCAAAATTGCTAATGGCATGTGCAAGCAACCAGGACAGCTAAGCAACATACCTTCAGCTCTGGTGTGAAAATGATTCTCAGATGTCCCTCATGTATAACATGTAGATGTTCATAAACACTTTTTTGAACAACTTTTGCATGCTCCAGCACCATTTGTCCATTAGGCAACCGGAATTCGTTGGGTGAGTCAAAGTATAAGTATTCATCAATAACACCATGGTCAAATCTAATTTGGCAGAGTCTAGGAAGTACTTCATAGGTAGCTTCTACCAAATGGAACAGAGACCAAAAAAAAGATAAAGTTAACTTAGTGAGCTTAATGGCAGACATTGAAACAGAAAATAGGAAAAGCACGAAATAAATCATGATCTATGAGAATAACGTACAGATGTTAAGAAAACTAAGGTAATCATCTATGTCATCTTAATAGTACATGCAGAGTGCATAAAAGATAACACAAAGACATAAAAACATATCTGATTTAACCAGAGATTCACTGTGAGAAAGCAAGAATCACTAGGGCATCACCTTGTTCAAAGGCCCTGTTTGGGAGAGCTCAGGTAGAATAGGGGTGTTTGAGTGAAGAATCTCAATTCCAATTTGAGACTAAACACAGAGGGCTCAAACTCTTAATTTGTGACTAGGAGCTACAAACTTCAGATCCTTCAAGATTCTTCGTTTGCGACATTCATACATTTCAAAAAGCATTCAGCTGATCCAGAGATTAATTTTCAACTTGGCAATGATCTTTGCATGATATTTTTATCATTTTTAATGCTTATCAACAAATTGTTAGTATTAGATTTTTCTAGTCCGAAACGGCAAGACCACCTTTAGAGCCACAAGAAGCTTACCAGAAAATACGGTTAGACTAATAGATCACAACTATGAACTGAGCAAACTAAGAATTTTGACAAATGAAAGAACCGTTATCATTCATCAGGTAGAGTTGACATAGACCAACTAACCATATCCTTTCCCACCATGTGTATTGCAAATGTCACATCGCCATGTATCCTGTACCATAGAGGAAAAAAGAAAATTGATGAATGTATTCATCGCATTTTTATATATAGAAAAAGAAAATTTAACTGCTGCAGGCTACAATGGAACTCTTTACTGCAAAATGTTGTGCATACAAGATCTATTTTTCTACCATTAAAGGCACTTAACAAATTAAATGTGGTTTTCAGTAACCCAAGCAGAACTTTACACTGATGCTAATCAATCTAATACTGAACATCAAGCAGAAAGTGATGTTCAGCCATGAAATAAAGAGCAGTATACGATGGGAAATAAAATACCAGTAGGTGTGAAGTATTATTTACCAGAGTTTTCTGTGGAGCAGCAGCTGAAGAATTCCCTCTGTTGTCATAAGAAGAGACACACCATCTTTCTCTTGCTCGAGGTGCAAAGTACTCTTCAACAAGCTTCCTCCAGTATGTTATAGGGTTATTCTAGAAAACATCGTTCGAATAAATTGTATTGCCAAGAGCTTGTACCTCATAATCCCACAAACAATTAACACTATAGAGAAACTCACCTCTGGACGATGACGCTTGTGAAATAAATACTGCAGTATCCTGCGAGAACAAATCCCACTCTCGATAGGAGTCCTAACAGGACCACTTAACTGCATTCCAGTCTGTGCCAGTGGTGGCCTAAGTTGAGGCTGCCGAGGAATACCAACTTGGGGTTGTTGCATCTGAGAAAATGGTTGCAACAAATGCTGCTGCTGCCGTTGCTGAAGTTGTGCCAGTTTATGCTGCTGAATCAAAGCTTGAAGCTGTGGGTTCTGTTGCCCCTGGAAATGAAGAGAATTCTGACCATGGATCAGCTGCTGAATCAACTGTTGTTGCATGATATCACCCGGACTAACATCAATCCTTGATTTCTTCTGAGCATGCAATGCACCTCCAGCATCAATCACAGGTTGTGATGTTACACTTGAAGACCTCCGTTTCTGCACCTGCTCTTGGGGTGGACTTTGCTGCATGATGGAACCGTCAATGACTGAAGAGCCAGAGATGTTATTGGATGAAAATGACATTGGTGATGCAGGAACACGCATCAATGAATCACCATTCATGCTAGTACTTGGCTGTAACTGGGCACCGCCAGAAAGTGACGAGTTGGCGTCAGTCACCAACGAGCTAACTCCAATGCTTGGCCCAGAGGAATTTGTAGTGCTAATTGGAACATTACCACTCATGTCCCTGGCATATCCAAGGTTAGAACATGCACCCCCGGACATGGAGGTCCAGGGATGAGTTCCGTTCATTGCCTTGTACAATCACGTAAAAGAGGCAAGGCACATTACTGGATTTCGCTGATAATAAAGACCTTAAAATACTTCAGCCAGAACCTGTAAAAGAGTAGGTGTCAATGGTATTAAAGACATGCAAAGAAATTATGCATCATATTTTTTCCCCTTTGCTTTGCACTAACAAAAAAAATGTGTGCATTGTAAGCTGATCAAGTTCACATAAGCGAAACAAGTAGCATATTGTGTTCATCTCAGCAAAACATGAACCTAACCAGGTCAGTTTCCTAACTGCAAACAAGGCAAGTAACAGATGATTAAGAGAACAAAACTGGATCAAGCTGCAAGCGATAAATAAAGGAGCCTGGGCCAACTTGAAGCAACCAAAATCCAGGTATTTAGTCGTCCATTAGAGTATATAAGAAGCTACTATGTAAGACCCAGATGTAACGTGCCTCTATTCAGATACTACTAAGTAGCAAAATTGGCCCACAAAGCTGTGATCCTTAGCCTTCCCCGAGAGGACAAGACTACAAATTTCCAATGGAAAATCAGTGTTCCATAAAACTTGATAGACCTAATGACAGCACAATCGTGTGACTGCCCAGGCCATGAACTAAGCTCAAACCGCCACGGTGTTGGCCAACTAGGCATGGATTGTCCCCAAATTACAGCAGCAGGGTGGGCATAGCCACCTAACCACCCGAATAATGTACAAGATTGAGCATTTCTTCGCTTCTTTGCTCATACATCAATCAGAGGTATTGCAGACAGTGAAGTAATTCTACCCCCACATCTTATCTTGGGGGAAAAACGCAGACAATCCCTGCATCTACCCAGGCAGGAGATATTCTGCGGTGCAAAGAAGATAACACGGGAGTGCATACGGAGAGAAGTAACCCCAAAAGCAAAGAAAGTAATCACACAGAGAACAATTGAAACAATAAGCATAGGGAGAAAAAAAAAGATAATCACTCCAACAACAACTAAAACCATAGAGTCCTTTTGCTGGGTTGCCTTTCCACCAACCAGACAAGAACATAAACACACATGTATGCAACGGCACAAAGCAAACGGTAATGGCGCTGCCGCTGCTGGAGGAAGCAAAGACGTACTTCGTAGATTGCTACCGCCTTCAGCGTCTTCCGCCTACCAGGCCAAGTTAACCGCTACGAGAGGTAGAGAGAAAAAAAAAGGAAACATTTGGGGGGGGGCTTTCTTAGTAGAGCTTTGGGAAGGTAGAAGACAACCAGATTGGGCAGACAGAAACCCAGGAACTCACTTCGCTCCCCACGGACGGATTGAATTGAACCCTAAGCAAAATCTCACCCCGCTGCCGCTTCCCCCACCTCGTGCTGCTGCGCTTCCGCTTCCGCTTCCGCTGCTAATTATTTTCCTCTCATCTCCTTCTTCGGTTCTTCCCCTCCTCTTCTTGCGCCTGTCTGTCTGTCTGTGTGTGGGTGTGGCAGCCGTTGCCGGCGCCGCGGCCACCGGGCTAAATAGCTTCGCGGCGCCCGAGGCGGGGGTGACCGGGCGCAGCCGGTGGGGCGGCCCGCCTTTGACCGCCCGTCGCCGGTCGCGGGGGGCCGCGGGGCGATCCCGACCGTCGGATCGGGCCGGCAGCGCGCGCTGGAGGCCGATATTTACACGCGTCGGCGCGTGATTGGGTGGCGGTGGGGACGGGGTGACCGGGAGAGGGGCGGTCCGTCCCGTGGCTACGTGCACCCAGTGGGCGTACACGTTAGAGCTGGATGGGCCCACGCTGGGGAGAGGGCGCGGTGGGGCCGTGCCAGACGCGCTGGGTCGGTGGGTGCTGCTTCCTCATGATATCCATGGGGCGATGAGCCCGTCACTAGACATTAGGCTAAAATTTGTTAGCTAGAGCATGTAGCTTCTTAAAGTAACTATAATCCATTTTTTATAAATAAACGAAAAATTATATTTGATCTTTTTTAAAAATTATAAGTAGTAGATACTCATAAATATATGTGGGTAGCCGCAATGGATATTTATCTGGTTGTTCCTCCCGTCATTGGTTTCACCTTCTCTCCCACCCTGTTTTTCTCTCTTCGCACGATTTACGGATTTTAGAAAGCTAACTAATGAAAATTATTGGACAAGAGCAAAAAAAAAACATTTCTTCACTTGGCATAACCATTGATTTACCAAGTAAGTTTTAACTTTTAAGTACTCCATCTGTTTAAATTGTAAGTCGTTCTAGCTTTTCTAGATACCTAGCTTTTACTATGCATATAGACATACAACCTATTCGGTTGACTGGTTCGTGAAGAAGTACTGTTGGCTGGTTTGTGTGAGAGAAAAATATTGTTCCGGCTGAAAATTTACGATCGTTTATGACAAGCCATAGCCAAACGAAAGATGATAATGTATATCTAGGTGCATAGCAAAAGCTATGTATCTATGTCTCTAGTTTGCATGTTCTATTTCGTAATGTCCTTTTATTTTCATAATCGTGTGTCAAGTCCATTCGTTTATTTTGTAAACTCGGTCACGCCGTGTAGTGTGTTACTTTTGTGACAAGGTGGTCTAACTCCTCTCTTTGGAGGATGAAATAAGATATTTCTTCTACTATTAAAAATGCAAAACCAAATCTAATTGGTATCTTTTCAATCATATATATTTTATATGAAATCAGCCTGTTCGCTGGTTGATTTCTGGGCTGATAAGCCCAACTGATGCTGATTTGTTGTGAGAGGAAAATATTATACCATAGCTGATAAGTCCTGGCTGAAACCAATAAGCGAACAGGCTGAATATAAATGCTCTTGTTTCGTTGTAGCTCCACAAGTGTTTAAAGTTGTAGTTGTTGTTAGTGTAGCTAACGTTGTAGCAAGTTAATCTATTCTGTTAACATGCTACATGGTTAGTTTCACCATAATTTTTCTTTAAGACCGAAACGACAAAAAACAATACCAAATTTCTTACATGGTGCCCAGTTTTGTTTGGTGAAACCTAAGTTGAGAAAAACCAATGTGCTAAACCTCTTCATCGATCTCCTATCTGTGGGCCCGGAGTGTAAGTGACATGTTTTGCTTCCTTGTCCAGGGTGCCGCCGTTGGCATTTGATGAGAAGAAAGGATTGGACCTTTCCAGGTTTAGCGACGCTACGATGCTCACACTGCTCCTACTGACCTGTGGGGTCACCAAATCAAGGGCCCACGTGTACGTGACGGAAACATACGAGAGGGGGGGTCACCAAACAAGGGCCCACATGTACGTAACGGAAACATACGAGAGGGTATGTTTGTTGGTCTGTCTCCATTTCCTTTTTCCAGGGCCGACCACACTGTTCGTCGAGGAAGCGGTTTTGCATTTTGCTCCGTGCACACAGGGAAGGAGGGGAGGATGACTCCACGCTCTACCAGAGCTTCCTTTTCCTTGTCGTAGAAGTAGAAGCAGCCTGTGGGGCCCACCATGCTTGTTGGTTTTGACTAGCTTGCATTGTTTTCTGCTTAGGATAATTAGGCTGGAGGAGCAGGACTAGTGTGGTCTGTAGTGTACGGTTTTCCTTTTCCCTTCATCAGCTGTTTATAATATAGACAGGGTACAAGCATAATTGAGATTGACAGACAATCTTGACATGAAAAATGAGCAAAACAATCATAATAATATGTATTGTGTTGGTGACTGGTGATTAATCAGTGTCTTGTTTTCATTAACAATTCGTAGAAAATGTTTCTTGACCAGAAGCTCGCCATTCCTATTTTGTGACGAAATTCAATTGGTTTCTTGACCGAAGTGAAAATGTCATATACAGGGCAGCCCCACTATTATTCAATTGTATTCAATTGAATACCTAAAAAATTTAGCAAAAAAATGTATATATAGTATATACATGTATGTATATTGGAAAAAGAGAAAATAAAGCTAAAATGAATACATGTGAAGCATTCAGCACAAAACATACATATTTCTACTCCCTTACCTCTGCACTGAAGGCCCGATAAAGCCCAGTGGCCCAAAATCTCTCCCACTGTTGGAGACATTGGCGAGTCAGCATCTCCTGACTCTAGCACGCTGACGCTGCTCCTGCCTCGCTTCCCTAATCCCAGTCTCCAAACCCTAGCACTACTAGTGAGAGCTCGCTCCTATATTTGCATAGTGATTTTTGGTATAATTCATTTGGTTTCACATGTACATATCATTATTTACTTGTTGGTACAAATGTGTCTCAAAGTGAAAGTCCATCAAAATTGAACTTTCAGTTCATTCTTAGACTTAGGATCTACTAGCAATATAGATCAGTGGCCGGAACCTTTCTATTTGTAATAAAAGGACCTAGATCGATCTAGAACAAGAATTGAAAGAGAGAGAGAAAGGGAGAGTGATATTAGGGTACTGACTATCCTGTTTGGTGGTCGAGGAGCTCGCCATCGACGGTGTCGGTGACGCGGTGTCGATGATGGGGAGGTAGTGGAGTCCGGTGCAAAGGCGATGAAGATGGGCGCGGACTGCGGCGGAGGTGGAGCTTCACGTCGCTGTTAGCATTCCCTCGATCGGTAGGGTTAGGACCATGGTGGGGTTGTGGCGGCTACGATGAACCTCATGTCCTGCGCCCTGGCCCCCACCTCAATCTTATAGTGCTGCTCGATGGGGGCCCACCAATCTTAGTTTGGTTGGACGCCCCGATTAGGACGCTGGATCAAGGCCCGACTCGACTGTTGGGCCGAGTCGGATGAGATCAACACCAACAATCTTTCCCTTGATCCCATCTCATACTTAAACTTTAGATTTAAACTTAACACTTAACTTAGTACCCATTTCATTATAGATCAGTGTATAGAGCGTGCCTCGTCATGACAGTTAGTACCGTCAGATTAACAGCTACAATACACCTTTCTATTTTGAAACAGATTCTCAGCTTATTCTGGGCCCTAAGTATCCAGAATTATAGGCTGTACCATAAACCCATGTCGACTGTGTGTTCTTTAAACGCACTGGGTGGTAAGTCTTTAGTAAGCAAATCCGCAAACACTTGTTTGATACTTATATGCTTA